AAGCATTACGAGGGGGGACAGAAACGGGAGATACGGGGTTTTTTTTTTTTTATTGATATGGCGACCACCGACATCTACACTCTTTCCCTACACTACGCTCTTCCGATCCCCCCCCCCCCCCCCCCCCTCCAGGTGTTCGGCCCGGCGGCCAAGCAGATCGAGGTCTACCGGAGCGTGGTCTGCCCCATCCTGGACGAGGTCATCATGGGCTACAACTGCACCGTGTTCGCGTGAGTCCCCCCGCCTTTTTTATGGTGCAAAAGAAAGAAATGGGAAGTTCTTCACATCTCGTACAGCATAGAAATCTGAGACAACGTTTGGTGCAGAACAGACTGAAAACTGGAGACACGAGAAAAAAGACATGCAAAAACAGACGCGTGTAAAAAGAAAAGGAAAAAAAATTAAAAAGCAAAAAAATCAGAGAGAAAAAACTATAAAATATAGAAAAAAATACAAAAAACAAATCCAGAGAGACACAAGAAAAAACCTACAAAAACAGACGCGTATAAACAGAAAAAGGGAAAAAAACGGAAGAGAAAAAAGCAAAAAAAATCAGAGAAAAAAACAAATACAAAAAAACTATAAAATATAGAAAAAAATACAAAAATCAAATGCAAAAAATGGAAAAAACAAACACAAAAGAAAGAAATTGAGGAAAAGCAAAAATAGAAAAAACAGAAGAGAAAAAACGCAACTCTACAAACAAGAGAGGAAAAAACGTTATTATGGGCTACAACTGCAGCGTGTTCACGTGAGTCCGCTTTATTTTATGGTGGAAAACAAAGAAATAGGAAGTTATTCACATGTCGCCCAGCATAGAAATCTGAGAGAAAGGTTCTACGCAGTATTGGTGTAGAACAACCTGAAAACTGGAGACAAGAAAAAAACATACAAAAACAGACGCGTATAAAAAGAAACGGGAACAAAAACGAAAGAGAAAAATACGCAAATACAAAAGAAATACCAAATATAGAAAAAATACAAAAAAACACAAAATTAGAAAAAACACAACACACAAGAGAAAAAA